TCTCTCAGACCACCACAAAACTAAAATCCTGCTTGGGCTATTGCAAACGTGTGATTCCTGCACTTTGCTGCGTAGGGCAACGATGATCCTTCCGCCTAGGACAGAACATGGACCTACCACGCAGCAACACACTAGAACTTCCAAAAACAAGTAGAAAAGCTTAAATCGGGTGTCCCAACTTTGAAATACTCTGTACATATGCTTACAATAATTATAGATAATTATAGGTATTCGAACTCACGTAAAGGGTGTATAATTGCACATTTCCATAGCAATTGTGTCCATGTGAGTATATGAATGTTTATGCGCGTCTATTCGTGTCTGTGTAATCATGTTTGCCGTCACCCAAAGCATTATGCAAATTATAGAAATTAAAAAAATTAAGAAAATTAAAAAAATAAAATTTGATCGATTTTACCTCTCTCGGTATTCGAATTCACGTAAAGGTGTATAATTGCACGTATACAAAGTAATGTGCAATTATACACCCTTTACGTGAGTTCAAATACCAAAAGAGGTCAAATCGATCAACATTTTTTTTTTATTCTCTTACTTTTTTTAATTTCTATAATTATTGTAAGCATATGTACAGAGTATTTCAAAGTCGGGACACCCGACTTTAGCTTTTTTACTTGTTTTTATTTAGTTATGTTTCAACGTAGCTTTTAACAGCAATACCTGCTAGCGGCCCCTTAGCCGGCGGGAGTGGTGCAACTGCCAGGTCCGTGGTTGAGCTCCATTAGGACTTAGCCTATCGTTGCCGCAGTTGTGTCCTTCCGTCAGCGCGGTGTAGGATGGCGGTCAGCAGAATGGGTGCAGCGAATGGGCAGATGTAGCAGGTCCGGTTCTTGGTACTCACTCATTGTTGCCCTACATGGTGTCCAGGAGCTAATAGAGAACGACGAATGCCTTTTTAATGTTAAATAAAGAATATTTTAGTTACCATGTTTTTATACTCTCTACATGAAATGTACAAGAGTATATTAGGTTTGCGGGAGCTGAAAATGTAACAGGCAGAAGGAGGCGTGGCAGACCCCACAAAGTATATATATTCTTGATCAGCATGACAAAACGAGTCGATCTATGTCTGTCTGTCCGTCTGTCTGTCCGTATGAACACCTGGATCTCAGAGACTATAAGAGGTAGACACAAAATTTTGCACAAAGATGGCTTATGTGTGTACGCTGTGCAAGTTTGTTTTATTTTTTTGATTTCGCCGCCTCCCCACCCTCCCACTTACCCCCTATTTCAAAGTCGGGACACCTGACTTTAGCTTTTTTACTTGTTTTTGTTTGAGATTTTATACTCTGTACATGAAATGTATGCTTTGTATATGTGCAATTATACACCCTTTGCGTGAGTTCGAATAACAAAAGAGGTAAAATAAATCAAATTTTTTTTTTTAATTCTCTTACTTTTTTTATTGCCATAATTATTGTAATCATAGTATTTCAAAGTCGGGACACCCGACTTTAGCTTTTTTACTTGTTTCTTTCTTCGCTTTCAACCTAGGGCAACATTTGCTAAAGCGCATACCCAGGTGTATTCCCATTGTGCCCCATCTTGTTATATTGCATCCCATGTCGCAACGCCGGCTAGCTCTGACTCTCTCATCTCTATTCGGCAGGACTAACAATAAATATTTATATTTTTCTCAGAACACACCTACACATTATGGTATTGGCATTTTATTGCCGACTCCCTTTAATGAGCTTATTTTGGTTTGTTTGGTACCCTTATGTTACCCCATCTCACCAAACAAATTGACTCTACTCCAGATTCATTCATACTTATCCCGAACCCATAAGAGAGTGACGGCTTGGCACCAACTATGGCCGAGGGCTCGTGCAGTACGTAGCGTCGACAGGCGGTATTGGCGCTGTCCTCTGTCCTGGCTACCATGAAGCCCTCCTGCTTCCAGACTATGCTCGCTGCCTACGTCGCCCACAGCCCATTTTTCAGGCCCGCCCGTCGCTATTGCTGTCGTTCCTACCATGTATAATAAGAAATTATTTCCTGGTATAGCCCTTTTTTCGACTTCCTTACCTCAGCCTAGGTACTCCCAAAGGTATGCTTCCTTGTTCCCTCCTTGTCCACCAGCTATATTTTTTTTAGATCCTCCACTTTGCGTTTTCTCTGTGCTTTACGATCCCCACGTGCGTGTATCTTTGTCACTTGTCAAACTGTGCCTTATGCTCTCGACCGACGTTATCATTTGACATTCTCAAGGAACCGATAACTTTCCCTTATCCTGATGCTACCCAATACCACTTCCTATACTTCAATTGGTAGCATTTGGTCACGCCACACCCGCACGAGTATTTGGTGTAAGCATCGACACGCCAGCTGTTTACCGAGCGAGTTGCCACCCCTTCTGTCTGACGCCATTCCAAAAAAACATGAAAACGACTGCCGCGCCGCACATAACATGTTTTAACCGTAAAGCTGCCGTACGCAGCTTTTTCCAAAGGGAAAATTTTGGTTAAATAATGCACGGTGCGTTTAAATAATAATTTATGCATATGATTAAAAAAAAAACTTCAACACATCCAAATCAGTGCCATTTCTTCAAATTTTTTTCTAGAGGGTGCAACGACCCCCTGGGCACGCCACTGTAGTCCGTTTTCTAAATTGTTCGTTTTTTTTTTTTTTTTTTTTAGTTTATAGAGTAAAGAAAAATTCGATTTATGTATTTATTTTCAAAATTGATTTATGCAATTGGCTCTAGTTATCGTATGAAATTAAATGAATAACGAAAACAAAAGTTATTAATGAAAACTCTAATGCCAAATGTACTAAAAAAGAAAAAATTTCTTTTGAAAATGAAAATAGTTTTTTATTAATTAACATTACCTGTCCTGTTAGTTGAAAACGTATGAACATACATATGTAGATGGGTGCATACATTCAAACAATAGTGTCTCACATTTTGCTCTGGCTATTTCAATCGTTTGCACGCAACTACACGAACACCTGCTTGTATGTGTGTCTGTATGTATACTAAGTTGTCGCCAACTGTTTGATATGCATTTTATGTTGTTTGTTCTGCCTGCATTTGTAAAGCGAAACCCGTATTTCTATATTGTGAAAATCCTTGAATGCAAAGTTGTAGATTTAGTTACATAGATTACATTACCCAAATTTTAAATCGAACGGATAAAATTTATAACCCAAACGTTTAATTTGAACAAGATAGAACGCTACAGTCGAGCAAGCCTGACAGTAAAATAGCCTGTACTCTCCACAAAAAAGAAAAATTAAAAAAACAAAATTAAAAAATAAAAATTAAATTATTAAAAAAAAATGAATGAATGAATTATTTAATTAAATTAAATTAGAATACATGTTTATGTTCAGTTTTAACAGCATACATTTACATCACGTACCTATGCGTGTTTATATGCGTGTATGTATGCAGCACAAAGTTGAACCAAAGCAACAACAACAACAGCTGCGGGCAGCGCTGCCGACAGAGCTGCAGGCAGCGCATGAGCAGCGATTTTACTTATGGCTATAACTTTCTTCAGAATTGACCTATCATGATGAAATTTGGCACACGAACACTTTAGTACTAACTGGATGTACCTACCAAAATTGATTTCAAAATTCCGTGAATTACGGAAGTTATAAGAAAAAACACGGAGGAGTGGGGGGGTGCATCGAAAAAAAACTCAAACTCGTACTTTCTCGGTCTTAGGAGAATATGGAAACCAAGTTTGGTTATTCTAGCTCTTATACTTTCTGAGATCCTTGCGTTCATACGGACAGACGGACGGACGGACATGGCTATATCCACTCGGCTTCTCATCCTGATCTAGAATATATATACTTTGTGGGGTCTGCCACGCCTTCTGTGTGTTACATACATGCGCTCAAAACTAGTATAGCCTTTCACCCTTTGGGTACAGGCTATAAAAAGTGAATAAATATTAAAACCCCAATAATTCAAGCTCCAACACAAATTTCGAAAAACCGCAAGAAAATGCATTTGTTATACCCTGGTGAAAGAGTATACTAATTGTATGTAACAGGCAGATGGAGGCATGGCAGACCCCACAAAGTTTATATATATTCTTGATCAGGATGACAAGGCGAGCCGATATAGCCATGTCCGTCTATCCGTCCGTCTGTATGTACGCAAGGATCTCAGACAGTATAAGAGGTAGAACAACCAAGCTTGAAAGTACGAGTTTCAGTTTTGTTTCGATGCACCCCCCATTCCCCCGCAATTCGTGTTTCTTCCCATAACTTCCGTAATTTGTAGAATTTTGTACTCAAATTTGGCAGTTAGTGATCATGAGTCTGTATGCCAAGTTTCATCATGATAGGTCAATGCTGAAGAAAGTTATAGCCATAAATAAAATCGCTGCCAATACTCTGCCTGCACCTGTGCCCGTAGCGCTGCCCGCAGCTGTTGTTGTTGCTGCTGCTTTGGTTCAACTTAATGCTGCATACATACACGCATATAAACACCCAGAGACACGATTCTATTGTATTATTATTATTCTATTGTAATTCTACATAAACACTTATGTATGTATGCTTATGTTGAATATTGTACTTGTATATATAATTTAATTAATTAATTACGTTAATTAAATTTTTTTTAATAATTTTATTTTTTGGGGAGAGTACAGGGTATTTTACTTTCGGACTTGCTCGACTGTTGCGTTCTATCTTGTTTGCAATTGGGGGAATGCATGACTTTAGACAAAGTTGTTGTTTTGTTATTGGGTAGTGTATTTCGTATTTGACTATTGGTTATTGGTTGATTTGTTTGGATTACTGATGGCACTTTTTCTATGATGTTTGCAAAGTTTTCCTAAGAAAACTACATTCATTTATTTATAAATCGTAAATGTACTTAATAGCAGTCATAAATTGAAATACGTTCCTTTTCCACCGTTTCAAATCGTTGCCACCATAGTTGCTAATTGTTTTTATATTGACATTTTATAAATTATAACGATTGAGTCCAAATTTTACTGCATTTTTTAACTTACTACAAGTTATTGATGTGCGTCCGACGCGAAAATAATTGAGTTATAAAGGACTGACTGCAATAAAAATGGATGCATACGATACGTATTTACACAGTACCTACAGTATTTCAATAATTCCAAGCGACTTACATCACGAACAAACTATTGTCAAAGCAGCCAATTCTCTTACTAGTCTCCACAAAACAATAAATTCAATTTTTTCCCATTTTGGAACGCGTTTGGAAAGAAATGCAGCCAAGGTCAAGGAAATAAACGAACGTCTTCGGCGTGCACAGGCCAAAATTGATGCCTTCGTTGGATCTAAGCGTGCCATCAAAATTATTGCACCAGCAGAATTTCCCGCATGCAACGTATTAGTTAATATTCCGGGTACCTTTTCGCACGTTGCGGGTCATCTCATGGAGTCTACGCACGATCAACCGTCATTAGAGAAACAGCATCGTTTGCGACAGGTCCAACTGCAATGTAATGCAATTCCCAATTGTCAACATTTAGAGGATTGTACACAGGAAAATAGCAATAAACGGCTGGTTTTTTATCATGTGCAAGCAGAGGAGAACTGCGAACCGACTTTGGTTGCCGAACGTAAGTTTACGAATCGTACATCAGGTCTAGGCGTATTTCCAGAGCGTCTAAGGTCGGTGCCATCGATGATTCGATTTAATACGAACGACTTTTGCTATGGCGGCGATATAACCGGAACTGTTGAGTTTAACACCTGGAGAAGCGCGCATCAGCCGCAGAGCCATCAGCGTGATATTCAGGTAAAGCCTCCAAAAAAGCAACACCTGGCGCCAGCGCCGGTTTCCTTGGCACATGGAACAACAAAACTTGCAACACTCGGCGGGGATTTGAGGTATACGCCAGTGTCATTAGCAGCACCAGCCATCGATGTTCCCTTGGATTTGCCAGATCTCCCAGGTGTCGCGAATGATTTGCAATACGAGCAAGTTGAGGAGCAGATGCCAATAGCACCGTCTTACAAGTTTTCGGGTTTGCCAGGTTTTTCAGACTTTATGGGTGGACCGAATCTAAAGACATTAAATGATGAAACACTTCCAGTACAATATGATAATGCAATATCACAGTGTGACATAGTGACACCTATAACAAACCTACAACCACTTCAAACACCACCAGCCCCACCACCACCGCCACCACCACCACCCATATTGTCATCACCAGTGTTCAAAAAGCCTATGCAGCAGACAACGCAACAGCCAACTGACGGCGTTTTAAAGCTGCTCTCCCCACCAACTGAAAAGTCACAATTTCTCCCAACTCCTTATAACCCAAACTATAATTCACGAGCCGAGCTCATGGTAGCTATACGCAATGCTGGTGGTGCACATGGCGGCCGACTGCGTTCACCGGCGGCAGCATCTATTGACGTTGATAATCAAAATGTAAGTAAATCACCGCAACACTATGCTGGCGATAGTGGGGTTTGTGATTTCATGGCTGACTTGCACAATAAATTAATGATGCGGCGCAAGGGCATTTCTGGAAATCAAATTCCAGCTAATCATGCTGCAAAAGAGGGCAATCCAATGATGATACAACTGTCAAGGGTCATACCGCCAACGGTACATCCCCGCAAAGGTGCACAATCTAGCGATGAGGCTTATTCTGATGACGATGATGATGCTTGGACGCCGTAGCGCATCGTACAATAATATTGTTAATTTTCTTTAACCAAATCCAACCAAAACTGTACTGTCAATCCAGCATGTTAAATTAGCACAGGTTTTAGGTTACAATTTAAAAGACTTCCAATAAACACACAATCTAGCATGACAACACGAGTCGATATAGAAAAAAAAACTTGTCTGCATGAATGCAACGACCTCAGAAAGTATAAAAGCTCGAGAAACCAAACTGATCAACGCACAGCCCATCGGTAAAAGCTAGGAAGCTGAAATTTTGACTCAAGTATCCTCTCATAGCATAGTTGCCCACTAAGAAGGGATTTTGACTCCAAAGTTTGTATGAAAAATCTGAATTTTCCAACCGATCGACTTAAAACTTGGTTTCTAAAACTAATAAAAGACATTAATATTTTTTTTCGAGACTTAACTATCATAGTGAAGGTGCGCATTAAGAAGGGATTTTGGAAAATTCGCGCTCCAAAGGGGGGATAACGACCTCCAAAGTTTGTTGAATCTTCAGTTTGAGAAATCTTCAGTTTTTCACCGATCAACTTCCAATTAGGGTTTTCCGACCTATAAAAGAATACAAGCAAACTGCTTACTCGGTTTTTTAAATTGGTCTTGGAGCTTGAAATATTGAGGTTTTAATATTACTTCACTATTTTTATAGCGCATGTCTGTAACACACAGAAGGAGGCGTGGCAGACCCCACAAAGTATATATATTCTTGATCAGGATGAGAAGACGAGTCGATATAGCCATGTCCGTCCGTCTGTATGAACGCAAGGATCTCAGAAAGTATAAGAGCTAGAATAACCAAACTTGGTATCCACGTTCTCCTAAGTCCGAGAAAGGACGAGCTTGTGTGTTTTTTTTTTTTTTCTGATGCACCCCTACACTCCCGCGCAATTCATGTTTTTTCTTATAACTTCCGTAATTCTCGGAATTTTGAAATCAATTTTGGTAGGTACATCCAGTTATTACTAATGTGTCCGTGTGCCAAATTTCATCATGATAGGTCAATTCTGAAGAAAGTTATAGCCATAAGTAAAATCGCTGCCTGCAGCTCTGTCGGCAGCGCTGCCCGCAGCTGTTGTTGTTGTTGCTGCTTTGGTTCAACTTTGTGCTGCATACATACACGCATATAAACACGCATAGGTACGTGATGTAAATGTATGCTGTTAAAACTGAACATAAACATGTATTCTAATTTAATTAAATTAATTAATCAATTCATTTATTTTTTATACTCTGTACATGAAATGTACAAGAGTATATTAGGTTTGCGGGAGCTGAAAAATGTAACAGGCAGAAGGAGGCGTGGCAGACCCCACAAAGTATATATATTCTTGATCAGCGTGACAAGACGAGTCGATCTAGCCCTGTCTGTCTGTCTGTCCGTCCGTATGAACACCTGGATCTCAGAGACTATAAGATCTAGAGACACCAAATTTTGCACAAAGATGCCTTATGTGTGTATTCTATACGAGTTTGTTTTATTTTTTTGATTCCCCCCCCCCCCCCCCCCACTTCCCCCCTATGGGGATTTTCCCGATTTTCCATTCGTATAATCGCCTATATCTCGGAGACTATAAAACCTAGGAACACCAAATTTTAGTCCAAGATGCCTTGTGTGAATACGCAGAAAATGTATATTTTGGAATTTCCCTCCCTCCCCCCTCTCCACCGCAAATCGCAATTTTCTCTAACTCCCGTAATTCTTGGAATTTCATACTAAAATACCCCCAGTTGGTTATTATGTGTCCGTATGCCAAGTTTCACTATGATAGACCGATTTAACGAGAAGTTATAGCCATAAATATATTTGCTGCTGCAGCGCTGCCCGCGGCTGATGTTGATGTTGCTGTTTGGTTGACTGCGAAAATGCTTACACAGACAGGAATAGATGCGCATAGGCATACATACACTCACACAGACGCAATTGCTATGTAAATGTGCAATTATACACCCTTTACGTGAGTTCGAATACCGAGAAAGGTAAAATCGATCATTGAATTTTTTTTTATTTTCTTAATTTTTTTTATTTTCTATAATTATTGTAAACATATGTACAGAGTATTTCAAAGTGTACACCCGACTTTAGCTTTTTTACTTGTTTTAATAATTTAATTTTTTTTTTAATTTTTCCTTTTTGTGGAGAGTACAGGCTATTTTACTGTCGGGCTTGCTCGACTGTAGCGTTCTATCTTGTTTTTTAAATAATTTAATGTTTTTTTATGTTTCTTTTTTGTGGAGAGTACAGGCTACTATTTATACTCTGTACATGAAATGTACAGAAGTATATTATGTTTGCGGGAACTGACAAATGTAACAGGCAGAAGGAGGCGTGGCAGACCCCACAAAGTATATATATTCTTGATCAGCATGACGAGACGAGTCGATCTAGCCCTGTCTGTCCGTCTGTCCGTCCGTATGAACACCTGGATCTCAAGAGCTAGAGACACCAAATTTTGCACAAAGATGCTTTATGTGTGTATTCTATACGAGTTTGTTTTATTTTTTTGATTTCCCCCCACTTCGCCCCTATGGGGGTTTTCCCGATTTTCCATTCGTATAATCGCCTATATCTCGGAGACTATAAAACCTAGGAACACCAAATTTTAGTCCAAGATGCCTTGTGTGAATACGCAGAAAATGTATATTTTGGAATTTCCCTCCCTCCCCCCTCTCCCCCGCAAATGCGATTTTCTCTAACTCCCGTAATTCTTGGAATTTCGAACTAAAATTTTGCAAATGCCCCCAGTTAGTTATGTGTCCGTATGCCACTATGATAGACCGATTTAACAAGAAGTTATAGCCATAAATTTGCTGCTGCAGCGCTGCCCGCGGCTGTTGATGCTGGTGCTTTGGTTGACTGCACACATGTTTACACAGACACGAATAGATGCGAATAGGCATACATACACTCACACAGACGCAATTGCTATGTGAATGTGCAATTATACACCCTTTACGTGAGTTCGAATACCGAGAGAGGTAAAATCGATCCAAATTTTTTTTTTTTTCTTAATTTTTTTTATTTTCTATAATTATTGTAAACATATGTACAGAGTATTTCAAAGTCGGGACACCCGACTTTAGCTTTTTTTGGTTATTTATAATTATTTGTTTGTTATTGTTTGAAACTATTTTATTAATGTGTTCTTCCAATTTAATAAAATCGTCGTGGTCAGGGCTTCCTGCCACGTACTTCCATGCAGTTCCTATCATGTCTATGGCTCTGGTGGTTCTTTTATTAAAAGTGGAGGTTATGGTGTAGAAGATCGAATAGGTTTGGTTTATTTCGTGGTGCAGAGTATGGTAGAGGCTGCTAAATTTTAGCCCTTGTCCTATCTTATCGAGATCGAGGACGTGAATAATTCTTGTCGTTGCGTTACGTATTTTGCCTAGTCCTAGGTATATTGTTGCAGTTTGTGCGTCTGTGTAGTTCGTTATGTCGACTCCGTACGTCCCAGTTGTTGTCCATGACAACCACCTGTAATTAAGTGTTTTTGATGTTACTCTTGTGTACTATCTTGCCTGTTTTTGTGGTGATTGTTGTGTCGTTATTTTCGTGTACAATCTCTTTACTGAATCTTGCTGATAATTTCGACCCTAACCTAGTGTCGACTTTAACGAATATTTCGTCACCGAGTTGGTATGTCTTTAGGGATTTCCTACTCCTGTTGTGGTATGCTAAGTCAGTGCTCTGTTTTTGTTTAAGTCGGTCTATTTCGTCCAGTCTGGTCTTTTCGTATAGTTCTGGGTCAGTAGTTACTATTCTTCCAAAAAACACTTCTAGTGGTCGTTTTTTTGTGACGGAATGAAAGGTGTAGTTATACTCGTAGATAGCTCTGTCAACAAGTTCTTCGAATGTTCTATGAATTTTGTCTTTTCTCACAACCCGCATTATTTCTGACAGTGTAGAGTGGAATCTCTCAATCTGTCCATTAACTGTGCTCTTATAAGGTGGGACTGTAAAAATTTCGATTTTAAGCTGATCAACGAGCATAAACTTGATTGAAGCGGAATTCAGTGATTTTTCATTGTCCATGACAAGGTATTTAGGGACGCCAAAATAAAAAATTAAATCTCTTAGTGGGGTTTTTATGTCTTCAATAGATTTTGACTTTATAATCCTTCCCTGTGCCAGCTTTGAAAACTTATCAATGGCAGTCAAAACCAATTTCCCCTCTGTCGAGTAGATATCTATATGGACAATGTGGCCGGGGTATTCTGGAATCGGAGTTTCTTTTAATTTTGGATTTGCTGGATGCCTATCGTATTTTTGTTCTTTACAGGTTACGCATTGTTTAACCAAACTCTCTATCTTTTGCTTCATCTTTGGGAAGTAGAATCGTTCGGACAGTTGGATTTTATTTTCTAGCGCATTGCGATGAGCAATGAGTTTAGGGCGAAAAGAGAGCGTGAGAGCGGCCGTTTGCGGACGTCGCCTCGCGCCCTTTTTTCGCCGCCTTAGGCTTAGTTTAGCATGTAAGCCGAATTTTGAAGTTAGTTGTAAAACCGAGCTAAATACAAGCACAATCGCCGCCGAATCGTTTTGTAAATTTCAATATAAAAGTTAAAGTAAAAGCAAGCGTCCCATTTTCTTTGTTTAAATAATTTATATAAAATAATATAAATTTTCATTGGCGCCCGAGCAGGGACTTGCTTGTTTTTTTTTAAAATTAAAAACTTTAATTTGTGCGCAACCGCGTCGGTTGTGTTGTTGTTGCTGCACTGGGGATTGTGTTGTGTTGCTGCCACGTCAACTGGATTTGGAGGATGAGTCAAGTCGACCAAAGGGAAGTTCCTGAGCCAAAGTCGACTTCACAGGTACTGTGCTACAGTTTGAAAGTGAAATTTAACCAGCGAATTGCTTATTTCGGCCTTCAACTTTCAACCTTTGGCACATACGTGACCATAATATAATACGGTAGATAGTTGAGCATAATTAACACAAATATAAATCGCATGTCGTACTAATATTAAATAAAAGTGAACCGCTATCGGCAATTATTTAAAGTGCCAATTTATTGTCGTTTGGTTTTGTTATACATACATACATACATAAATATACATAGCCACTTTTACATACGGCATCCCCCCCACGTCAATCTCAGCCAACCGTCGACAGTTTTCGTTTGTTGC